GTTATAAGCGTATCGACATTTGAAACCTTGGATTGATACTGAATAGTCAAGTACGAGGCTGCCAGAGTAGCCAGCATCAAAGTCAATATTATGGCAGTGACTAATTTCAGTTCATATCGACTCATTTTAATAATCATCCGTTAATATGCTAACTAACACCGAAATTCATTGCACTTCGCTACTCGTCAATCCCCAACTTAATTGGCCTTGCCCCATCAGTTAAATGATCGACTCTAGTCTCTCTACGGACTAATCATGAAAAAAAGGGGCATAATCACACGTTTCCAATGAAGACACTTTAAATACATCTTTAGCTTGCCGGTGTGGCCTGGCTTAGGAAATCGATGAACTCAAACTGATAAGGATAGCAGATTATTTGGGGTCGAAACGTACAGGTAGTGAGCGTGTCCACGATAATTGATGACCTGATATTCAAGCTATTTGATGGAATGAATGGCAAGGGAAAAAGATGGTATATACCGGCTTCCCTGCCGGTAGTGAGATGGGTTATTACTGCAATTGGTTAGAACGGTATCTCGTCAAAGCCATCAAACAAATCAGGTTCAGGCGGTTCTGTAGGTTCCCATGGCTTGGGTATACTAGACTGTAATTGATAATATCGCTGTAGCTGGGTGTAATATTGATCTTCAAATGCATTGACAAATGAGTCTAATAAAGCGTGTATTTGACCGGCACTTTCGTCGGATAACTCAGGTAGTCCCGTCAGTATCAATGATGGCGAGTCCATAGTGGTTCTCCTCAGGTTTTATTCAGGCCTTTTATGTGATTTGGAAGGCGTTGCTGCAAAAACATCCAGGTACAGTTTTTCATCCAGTTGGGTGAGTTCTCTAAAGGCGGCAGTCGTCAACAGGTCGGCCGCCATGCCGGTCAGTACACGGTAATTACCCAGGGCATGATCACATAGCGTCTGTATCAGTTCCGGGGTCATCAGACTAGCATTGCCTGCTGTCGATAACAGGTGCTTCAAGCAGGCTACCAGTTCGTTGCGATCGACATAGTCCATCACCAGTCGAGCGCGAATACGACTGCCCAAGGGCAGTAGTTCATCACGGCGTAGTTTATGGCTCAGTCGAGCATCACCGGCGAGTACGACGGTGAGCAAAGTCTGGGAGTCAAACTGCATGCTGCTGAGCAAACGCAGTTCACTGAGTACGGCGGGTTGCATTTCCTGGGCTTCATCAATCAATAACACCGGACGTAATAACGTACCTTCCAGATGCGATAACCAGCGTTCGCGCAGGGCTTTAAACCCGCCCCAGCGATTATGTGGTTTCAGTTCTATGCCGAATAGGTCGCCCATTTCACGGTAGAAGTCGGCCAGGTTACCACTGGGGTGGACAATGGCGCCTACACTGAGATCTTGCAGTTTTGACAAGCGTTGCGCCAGCAGGCGTAGGGTGATGCTTTTACCGGTTCCAGGGTCACCGGTGATCATGGCAAAGCCACCTTCACGGATCAGGGCTTGTTCTATACGCCAGAAGAACTGTTCAACCTTGGCTGTGATATACACACCTTCCGTGGGCAGCTCAGGCGAGAAAGGATTCCATTTCAGGCCATAAAGCGATAACAGTGTTTTATTCATGCGTCAGACTCCGGAGTCGTTTTGGGCAGATAAGCCGGTGGTTGACCGGTGGCGGCATACTCAGCCATGAGTTTGCGTAGCAGCGGCGGCAGTTCATGACCCTCAGTGGCGGGGGCTTGTGAGGTGATTAAACCGGTTGTCTGTTCCAGTACACGTCGCTTGCCGCTGGCATTGGCACTTTTATCCAGCGGATAAAGCCGACACAGTATTTTCTGCGTGTGCGCATCAATCAGATCAACCGAACTCAGGTCCCAACGGGCATAACAAACCTGGGGTTGTTCTATATGGCGATAACGAGCGGGGATTTCAAAGCGCTTGCCAGCCAGACTAATCGTGCCGTCACTGCGGCGTTGACGACGATTTACGCGACAGCGGAAAGCCTGCCGTAAGGTTCGACTGTCGGGACAATCCCGTCCGACAGATGTCGTATCAAGATAACGTCGCAGCGGTGTGGTTCCAATCTCGGCATGTTTGTTCTGATGATATTCTTGCTCAATCCAGACTTGGGTAATTTCATTAAGCCGCTCAAGTGATAACTCTTTAACCCCTTCGAGCATGGCCATTAAACGGCCTTCGAGCGTGGCCCAGAAGACTTCCTGCTTGGCGTTTTGGTACGGGCTATAAGGTAAGGTGGTTTCGTGCAGGATGCTTAACTGATGCAAGCCACTTTTAAATTCATCGGCCTGCATGGCGGCCCCGTTGTCGGTCATCAGGGCACGCGGTAATGCGCGCTTTTGCAAAGCCTGACAAAGACCGTGTACCAAGGTTTCGGCGGTTTCATCCAGGTACCACTGTAGATGGCAGACTAAACGTGAGTGATCATCGATAAAGCCCAGTAGTAAAGGCGTCACCCAGCGTCCTGATGGCAGTAAGACCTGACGTGATCCATGATGAAAGTCTGCATGCCATAAGCTATGAACGTAATCCACTTCATAACTGCGCACTTCCGCCTTTTGCAACCGTTGTTCGGCGAGCCTGGCACCCGGGGTATCACGTTTGGGCATGCGCTTGCGATGATTTCCCTGTGCTTTCATATAACGACGGATAGTGCCATAGGAGGGTATGGACTGGAGTGTCAAATCTTCTTCGGCCAGTGCCAATAAATTATCGACATGCAGTTGCACCGTCCAACTCTTATGAAGTTGATATTGCCCTTCAATGGCCTGAATCTGTAAGGCCGTTAATCGACGTGCACGACCAGCATCACACCGGCGTTGTCGTCGTAAAGCAAAAACCGGGTCTGCTGCCCGACGGGCTGCATAGAACCAGCGCTCTATGGTCGCTACACCAAATTGAATATCGGTGCTGTTAACCGGGTGTTTCCAGCGACAGTTGGATAGGTCCAGCAGCTTCTGTTGCAGCTCACCTCGTGGCGGTGGTGCGGCCAATAAAGGCCCGATGATCGCAAAGCGTAGTCTTGCCCAGCGATCAGGATCTTCTGGTTTTCCCATGACTTAACCCCTAATTTGAAAGAGTTTGTAGCCTAGAAGAACCGAAGGTCGTTTAAAATCACATCTTCTGCGGGTCGATAGCCACCCTCAAATAACCTGACCAGGAAGTGCTGGAAAGAGGTAATAACAACTGAAGAAATTGACACAAACACTGTGCTAAATCGCGACCTGTGAATCGTCCCAATAATGCACCAGGCAGTTGAACATTATTCAATGGGGGTATGAACTGACTTCGTGCTGCCTGCCAGCAACGACTCGTTGGGAAAAACGTTCGCCACCACCTTAACCAGCGATAGAAGGTCTGGGGGTTAATGTCCAACTGATCGAACAACCGTTGCCGACGTCGATGAGATAACCCGTGATCCAGCGCGGTAACCAAAATGATGATAACGCCGAGATAAACCTTGCGACCAAGGAAACGAACCGAAGGTGGTGTGGTTCTACGTCGACAATCCTCTGCTTGTTTCGACGAAGAAAAAAGCGAGACAAATCCAGTGTGCCATGAGTTTTTTAACGATGCCAGTTTTTATCAATTTCTACTTCAAGTAGATCTCGATATCGCCTCTGAAGTGCAAAGTAAGCCTTGTCAATATTGTGGTGGTTTGCTTCACAGTGCCCGTTACCCACGCAAACCCCGTGGTCCCCGCCACTTATTTCCGGATGATTATGAGAGGCGGTTAAGTTTTTGCTGTGCACGAAGACAGCCCTCTTGAGTAATTTTCAAGTTATTTAAGGGGGCTTTTCTTTTTCCATCAGATAATTAGATTAAAAACAGCGCTTAGACCATCATTTATTTTGGTCACTCTCAATCTAATGTACTTTTTAGCGTGTTCTCTTCTGGTACAGGTACGCCAGCTCTCTCTGCAAGAATTTCACGAAC